TTTTTTTTTCGTTTCAGGCTAACATTTTTATAAATGAAAACGTTGAAATGATTTGATATTATATGTATTAATTAGTATTTTTTCAGCCTCGTTTTATTTTGAGCAAACAAAACATAAATGAAACAAGGTTACTTTAAAGTATGTGCTGATCACAGCTGATCTAACCCTATTTTAAAAAAGAAAAAATGTCTTAAAGTGAGGAGATGACACGCAGATGGTGTGTGTATATGTTTTATTTTTTAGTGAAATATTTGAGAATGGAGTTCTATTAAATTATTAGCTCAGTTACTTAGAATATGTGAATAAACTAAAATTTCTGTAAGAACTAATTAATTTGCAAAGAAACTAACTAAGAGCCACTGCCATCTTAGAAAGATGTGCCATTGTTCTGCTGGGAAATTAGTGGCTAAACACCTCTTTTGTAGTAGAATCTTAGTCTTTGAATGTGGGTCAGAAATATCTAACCTTAAGAAAATTTAGGAAGAGCATACAGGTTTATTTGTTTTTATTCTCCACCTCACTTATAGTAGAGGAAGACTAGTGCCTTTCGGTACTTGTTAATGATCAGTAGGTTTCTGAGAAGTGTGGGTTGGTAATAGAAGCTGTTGTGGTGGTCTGGGAAGACTACCTCTAAGACTGGTTAATGCCCTGCCTCTTCACCACACAGACATTGATATTCCATTCTTCTTTTCTTTGAAAGCAAATACCCTTCAGATCTTTACTATTCTCCATCTATGTTTTTGGAGAATTGACCATGGATATTAGGGGTTGGGAGACTGTAATGATTAACTGTTATCAAACTTTCCCTAGGGGAGTGGGTACAAGGGCTTCCAAATTATGAAGGCTCATCACACTCCTCCCATACCCTAAAATTACTGCTGTTTTGAGTACCTACTATATTGATGGGAATGTGTGGGTTAATAGCCTCCTTTCTTTGGCTCTAGGACTGTATTCTGCCTTATGGCTCCCTCTAGTGGTAGTTACGTAAAGGGCCATCTTCAATGGCTTATTTCCTCAGAAAATGAGGTTTTTCTCATAGCACCTTCTAGATTTGCACAAAGAAATACAAGAGCAGGTAACTAAGAGTTAATGAATGGGATAATTCCTTTACTTTTGAGTTGGAGGTCTTGCTGGTAATCATGACCCGTATACTCACTTTAATAAATATTTAATGAGCATCTATTGCTTGATATTATGTTAGGTTCCAGGATGCTAAGATAAATAAGGTATGTTTTCTCCACTGTAGGGAGCTCATAGTCTAGTGGAGAAAACCAGTTGCTGTCGAGTTGATTCCAACTCATGGTGACCCAGGAGACAAGTAAATAAGACAGTGGAAATACTGTTTGACAAGTGCTATGGCCTGACTGCTGGTGGTGATAAAGAGCACAGACTAGGGTGATCCCAGTGGCTTCAACTTCATTGTAGCATAAAGAGTACATTTTTTATCCCCAGAGATTATTAACAATTACTATAGACATGTCTCACCACTCTAAAAGTACGGTTAAATAGTAGGAGCTAACACTTACTGAGTACTCATTGTGTCAGGTACTGAGTTAAATGATTTGTAAGTACTGTGTCATCATTCTCATAGTACTCCTACATGGTAGATGGGATTATCCACACTTTACTAGATGGAGAGACTGGTGTCTGGAGAGGTCAGGGAACTTGGATGAGGTCAGACAACTAGGAAGAGCTTCAGTAATGTGTGCTTGCTATTCAGTTTATTTAAACAATAGAAAACTATTACAAAAGAATAAGTTCCACGAGAGCAGCGATCTTTGTTCTTTTTATTGATGTATCCCAAGTGCTAGAACAGTACATAGGTGTTCAATGAATATTTTTTTAATGAATGAAATTTGTTGAATGTCAGTCCGTAAAGAGAAATACTTAATAGTGTGGCATCTGTTTTTCTGGACTTTAAATATATATATATATATATATTTTAGTTTTATTTTTTTGAATAGGCAATACATGGTCTATAAATCAAAATACTATAAAAAGGTATGCAGTGAAAAAAAAGTGTTCCCACCCCTGCCCCTATTTTCCCCTACCTCAGGTAAACATGTTTTTTAGTTTTTTGTTGTTTCCTTCCTGTTTTATATTATTTCCTTCTTTTATTACACAAAAAACATACTGTGCACCCTGTTCTGGACCTTGATTTTTTACTTAACAGTATATGATTTTTTTAAACACATGTATGATCATAGTATACAATAGTGTTTTATAACCTGCCTTTTTTTCTCCTGGCAAAAATATATTGTAGGCATGTATCAGTGTTGATACCTACAGTTTTACCTGTGAAGCATATATTTTAGGTTATATGATTAAAGAAACTGGGAAACTTAAGTCCCAAACTAAAGTTTGGGAAGTTTTAGCCAATGTATTAAGGCAAGAAAAAGATATGAGGCATAAGTATTTAAAAGCAGAATACAGTTAGAACTTGGAGATATTATGATTGCTCATTAAGTGAAAGAGTCAAGTGAAAACAGAAGCAATGAGTGTCACGTTTACCAGTTACAGCCTCAATAGCTTTCTCCTTACGTACTAGCAATAGCAAGAGCAATATATTGGAGAGTAATAAGATCCCAGTCACTGTAATAACAAAAAACCTAAAATGTCTAGGAATTAAATGGAGATACCAGAATCAATATGAAGAAAAGCACAGAACTTTGTTGAAGGGTACAGTAAAAGACTGAATAAATGCAGATGTATCCACTTAATGCCAAAAACTGTTTTTCTTTGTTTTCTTTTTATAATTTGACCAACAGTAATGATGAGTGGTTGTGTCCAATTTTTACTGATATATAATGATGTTAGTATCCTCTTGGTTACCTTTTTTGCTTCCATAGAATTTTCTAGAGAGAGACTCTCTGGAGTGGGATTTTATGGGCATGAAAAGAATGTCTTCATGGCTTTTGGTGCATGCTACCATAATGCCTTTTAAGAGGTTGTAGATAGGAATTTGAACAATGGATAATTCTTACAGCTTTGACAATAAAAAATTAAAAATACCCATGTAACTAATTGGTATTTATGTGTAATAGATTTTTTTCTCAGTGATTAGCATAAGGAAAGTTAAGGAGAACCGTAGTGCTGGTTCTTGATAGAAAAGAAAATATCTTTTTGTGAATTATTAATTGACTGTTCTAAGAAGAGAACCTAATATTAGAACTCAGTGGATTGTAAAATTTTGGGGTAGAGTTAGCTCAGCACATGATTGTTTGCTAAAGAGAAAAAGCAAACCCCAAAATAATACTCCCATCCCCCAAATTTAAAAAAAAGTGGCAGGAAGGTTCTGGGCAGAGAACTAGTGACCTCATGAATGTAGTTCAGTTGTAGTTAACTTGGTTTTCTCTGTTTTTCCCTCTCACAACAAAGCAAACTATTCCCTGGTTTATTCAATGAAAGGTGTTGTGCTGTATTAGCTAGAGTCTAGCTTTGCTTATTAAGATGTTCCCACATAAATGAAAGATGTTGATCGAGTTTTTTTATGTCACATATTTATCAAACATCATTATTTGAATTGGGTTTCTAGAAGGAAATTTCAGTTTGATTTATCATTTAGGGTTTTTCTGTCTTCTAACCCTCTAGGTGACATTCAGTACATTACATTTTCAAAGAATATGTTACTTAACAATAATTCTAGTTCCTGAAATTGAATAAAACCTATCAATGTGAAACTAGCCAAAAAGATATAGCTAAGTACTTAATCTCAGTTATTGACTCAATAATCGTTTTTTTCAGCTGGATAAGCATTTTCACCAGCCGTTTGGTTTTTGCCTAGCTCATGTTATGTGTTTAAAGTGATTGTTACTTCTAGTTTAATCCAGAAACTGAGAAATACCTCTTCAGGACCATTGCTGGAGACTGTTGGAGTATGGTCTGGCTTCAAACTTCAAACAGTCAGTCAAACTGATTGATAAAATATATCTGATGCCATTACCTCTAAATCAGTGGCTCTTACTGATAAAATAGTATGGTCTTAAAAGAATTTGAGAACTGAATCAGAATTAGGGTCATCTTTTAGTATAGTTGATTTTAGGTGATACTATATTGCTTGCTTATAAGATTTCTTTTTCCCCTGTTAATGAAGTCTGATAAGATTTTAAAATGTTATTTAATTTTCTGTATAGCTCCACCAAGTATGTTGGTGAAGGACGAATATGTTCATGACTTTGAGGGACAGCCATCGTTACCCACTGAAGGACATTCAATTCAAACCATCCAGCATCCACCAAGTAATCGTGCATCAGCGGAGACATACAGCACTCCAGCTCTTTTAGCCTCATCTGAGTCTAATGCTACGAGCACCACCAACTTTCCCAACATTCCTGTGGCTTCCACAAGTGAGTTGTAGAATCAGAAGTAGTCAACAAGTTAAATTTCACTAACCATTAAATATTTATATGTAGTTACTTGGAGGGAAACTCCAAGTAAGCAAAAGTTAAAAGTGCTCTGATATCCTTCATATGCAAACAGGTATTAAATAGGGTTTGGGATTAGTCTTGGAAAAAATGGTGTTTGTAATTTATTTAAAGGTTCTTATATTGACATGTAGTTATTTGGAATTTAAGTAATGACTTTTATTATAATATTAATTTAAATTCACGACCTCATTTGTACTTTACCTTTGCATGCAGGAGTAAGAAGCCTCTTCAGCTTTCAGATAGATTTTAAAGAAATATTTCAAGTAGTTAACAAAAGTAGTTTTGAACCAAGATGTTTATAAAGGTCTGTGTTAATGGAATTGCAAACTTTCCTTTAATCCAGTGTTCTTACTTTACTTTATCTTAGAGAATGGAATGTTAGTTTATAATAATCATCTCAATCTCCTATTGTGTGTACTTAGAAAAAGGGATTTCGACAAACTTGTTAGTAGTGTATATCTCTCAAGATAGACATTAAGCTTTTTAGTCAGTTTGGTATAAAGCTAAATGCTACATATTTTAACTATTGTTAATGATAGGTCTGTTTCCAAAGGGTTCTTCCATGGTCATGTCATGGAGGCAGAGGGCCATTAAGTTCAGCTTTTCTCGGGGCCTGATCAAGGCAATAATGACCTGGTACTTTTAGTATTTATTATTTATTTTCAGTCACCAGTGATTGCAGTAGTGGCAAGAAACAGTTTGCTGCTTGTCGTGGAGAGCACAGAACAGTATCTTGGCATATATATGGCGGTAGTTGCACCTGGTTGTTAAGGGAATTGTGTCTAAGCCTGTATCAGCAATAGATTATTGATAGATTTGAATTGATACTTTGTTAGCTGCTACTTAAGGAAGCATTATTCTATTTACGGTAATATCAGATTTAACGTAGGGATTTTGATCTTTGGAATGAATAGGGGAGTAATTTCTGTAGTTGTGAGTTTTCAAGTAAAGTATACCAGATTTTCCCCCATTTAATTCATTTCATCACTTCAAAGTATCTTTGGATTTGCTACGTAAGAGACCACAGTGTCACCATGGAGAACATATTCCAAGTGTGTGATAGAGGCTAAGTACATACTTTAGAACCTGGCACCTTTAACCAGTTGGTGCTTCTGTTATCTGTCTACCCTTTATTTACCAATTTTTGAGAGTATGGTTGACAAACAGGGTATGTGGTGAAGGAAAGAAGAAGGTATGTGTGCTAGAGCAGAGCTACCTACCTCTGTTTATATATCTGGAGATTGAATTTGCACGCCCTTGTTGATGTATACTAACGTGACCTCATTTTGACTGCTCTGTTTTCTGGGCTGAGTCCTATCTGAAGACCAGAAAAAGTGATGTGAATAAAATGCAGCTAATTTTGTCTTGGTATTTTTGGATAGATTTTCACAATGGAATAGTACACACTGTAGGTTTTAGAATTTATGGCAGAATGTTCCCTTAGATCTCAAAAAGCGTATTGATAAAAGGAAAAGAAATTGGACTACAATAGAATTGGAAGACTGCTGCTGCGCGAGTTATATTGTTTATCTTCATCTTACACACTTGGAATTGTGTTCTGGAAGCATTCAGTGCAGACAGCTGCAGTGGGCTAGTTCTTACAGTTGACGTTCATTTGGCATCTAAGTATCTTCAAGGTTTCTTTCTAAATATTTGTAAATTAAAATCATTTAATTTTTCCTATGTAGTGACAGCTTTTGTAAGTTAACTAATAGTATGTAGCATGTACAATTACTAAAAACAAAAGCAGAAATGTAATTAACCTTTAAAGAAAATTTGCAGATTTTGGGGGGGATGAGTAGGAAAGGAGGTCACTAAACATCATATTTAAAAAGAAATAATTTGAGGAGTATTAAAATAATTTCTTTAGCTTTTGATTTTATAATCTTAGCTTTAAAGAAATATGATTTGTAGAGAGGAGAAAAATGGTTCCATTTCCTTGATACTTTGAGCAATGGTGTCATTTACTCTTCCATCTGGTTATATTCCCATTTAGATGAGAAAACGAGGTTATGCCAGTGACATAACAATTATTAAATTTCACTGCCTTCCAAATGAGGTAAACAATTGACTTAATTAACGCTTGCTTTAAGAAATCAAGATTTCTTTCATTAAAAAGGAAAAGTCTTAAAAGCGTAGATTACTAAGCAGTATCATAATACAGCTTATGAATAGAATAGAAGCCAGAGGAAGGTTAGTCCCGATATATTACATGTAGAGAGGGCAATTAATTTTTTGTAAATCCAGGAGTACGATGATATTCTTACAGATAAATGATTCTCAGTTTTTAAAAGTATATGACAAAATTTCAAAGTAGACCGATACTGAGGTTTTTTTTTTTTTTTTTTCCACTAACAGAGAGCGTATTAATAGCTCAGTGGAGCTAGGTCTTTTTAATTTCCCCACCCTCCACATCACATCTCATTTAAAATATTTGCCTGCTCAGTTTTTATTTCCCCAAACCTTAGCATTATGCCATTACCAACCAGTACTGGTGCTGATAATTATTAACTTTCCAGTTTTCAGCATTTTCTTGATCCTGGACTTTTGGAATCTTAATCAGAAAGATCTAGAGAGAGGTGGAGTGAGTGGCCAGGGGTGAGCCAGTATGCTTCTGAAAAAGTTATTATGATAGGCCAGACATACAGTTCTTTTTTTTTTTTGGCTGGCATTTGAAGAATATTTGTAAAGAAATAGGCCACTAAAATTAGGTAGACATACTTAAGATAGAATAATTTTGAACTTCTTCACTTTAAGGTTTGCTTTTATAGATGACTTTAGTTTTCTTTAATTTGATGGACCATGATTGAGTTTCTGTTTTTGTTCATCTTCATAGTTGTGATTATAAGATTTAATTGGTCCTTCTTTTACTCTATAAAACCATAGGAATGCATCTATAAATGAACCATATTAATGTCTCCTTGTTCCTCCAGGTCAGCCTGCCAGTATACTGGCAGGCAGCCATAGTGAAGGACTGTTGCAGATAGCTTCAGGGCCTCAGCCAGGACAGCAGCAGAATGGATTTACTGGTCAGCCAGCTACTTACCATCATAGTATGTACATACTTTTTAAAATCTCTTGAATAGTTGAGAAAAATAGGCAGCCTTTGTAAAAGCAAATTAATCCATGTGGGCCTTAATTTTTAGACAGCACTACCACCTGGACTGGAAGTAGAACCGCACCATACACACCTAATTTGCCTCACCACCAAAATGGCCATCTTCAGCACCACCCGCCTATGCCGCCCCATCCCGGACATTACTGTAAGCTCTTGTTTTTGTTGTAAGGGCTTTTTCTTTTTGAGGACTTTTTTTAAAAGATGTTTTTACATCTTTTATTCATCCTACAATTTAGTTTCACTAAATGACTAGTGCTTTTCGGTATTTTTTTGTGAACAGTATTATTTTTCAAAGTTATGGTTTCATATCTTTGTTTTAGAGGAATGATGTTTACTAAATACATTTATCTCTCAGTTGCTAATGTTTCATTAACACCACATTGATTTCCATTCATTTGTTTGCTTTGTATATGTTCTTCAATCCCATGTGTATCTTGTATATCTACCCTTCGTGGATTGAAACTCCTTCAGTGCCAGGATCTTAAGGTCTCCCTCACCATACTCTATGCGGCCATGATTGGAAACAGTCCCCTACTGATAACCTTAGCCTGCAGTTTCAGGCAAAGTGGGAATATTGTTCATTTGGCTTAATAAAATTAAGGGTGTAACACTTTCATATATATTAAATTCCATTTTGTCTCATTATGAGACAGATAACAACAGAGAAAAGTTATAAAATACAGAAAAGTATGAACAGAAAATAAATATTACCTAGATTCCTCCTACCCAGAGATTTCCACTTCTAGCATTTTGGCATGTTTTTCCTTCCAGTCATATAAATAAATATATATAAATTGGGTGGTGGGGAGGGGTGGGGATCATACTATATATTATGTATGTATATATAAATGTATATGTATTATTGCATCCTGCTTTTTTCCAGTTATGCTACTGTTTTTCATGTCTTAAGAAAATACAGTGTTTAATGGCTGCCTGGGACACCGTAGTGGTTAAGGGTGCAGGATTTGTACCCTTAACTAGCTGTGTGACCATTGACAAGTTATTTAGCCTCCCTAAGCCTCTAATATCTGACTCGAGGTGTTGTGAAAAGTAAATGTCATAATTCATGTGAGGTGTTTAGTACAGTGTCTTAACACATAAAAAGCTCTCAATTATGATAGTTCCTATTCCATTGTATAAATATCCTTAACTTAATAGACCATAAACACTTGTTTTTAGAATGGAACTGACAATTCAAAATTACTGTTATCCATTGCATAATAAATTACACTGTATTACATGTTAACGTGAATAATTCATGTATAATCTGCATTAAATATTGCATCTAAAAGTTTGTAAATTGCTTAACAGTACCTTACATGTACTCAAATGTTAGCTATTTTTATAAAATATCCACAAAATTAATATAAGAGTATTTGCTTATTATAATCATAAAGTAATTTAAGCTTTTAAGTTCTTAGACATTTCATAAACTTGATCCAAACAACTCTTAAGGTATGATAGTTATATTTGAGTAAGGTTTGTTGAAAGTTTTAGCATTGGAAAACTTTTAATAAATAAAAATGGGATTTTTATTGTCTTTTCTTTAGGGCCAGTTCACAATGAGCTTGCATTCCAGCCTCCCATTTCCAATCATCCTGGTAAGTGTAAAATCCTGGTAAGGGTAAAATTGGTACCCTGTATTTAGATTTCATTTATGGTAGTTGAAATAGGCGTACACCTATAAGTTTTAATATAATTACAGGGTAACTTAAGTTCTCAGAGAAATGCAGTTCTCACTGTGACATGAGTTAATAAACAGTTTAAGAGTAGCCCATATAGTCACACATAGGCTGTCTATATTTGATTCAACTGTCTCCAAAAGAAAATTTTTACAAAAACTGTTTTTAGCTAGTAATACAAAGTACTGGAATTTTGTGTTAAGCGTTGACTACATAAATGTACAGCAGAAGAAAACTAGTTTTCAAAAATAGAACAGCTGTAAAACTAGCTTAAAAAGCAAAAGAAGAAATTTAAGTAGATGCTGAAAGAAAAATAGTTCACTGTACGTGTCTTAGAAGATAGATTCAGGAATCTCTGGTTAACTGGAATTGACAAACTATTTGATTAAGTTATGTTCAAACAAGTAAATAGCTAAGTAGCTTTCCTGAATTTACAGTTGGTATATAATTTTAAAATTGTAGCAGTGATAAAATAGGGAAAGTTTAGAAATAGAAAAAAGAAAATACTCAAGATCCCTTATAAACATAATTTGATTTTTTTTTCTTCCCTCCACCTACTTCATAGCTAGTTTTCTTAGCTTAAAAAGATATAAATATGCTATTTCAGCTAATTGCCTTAATTTTTTATAACCATAAACTCAGTTTTCCTCCTAATTAAAAAAAAAACCACACAGACACAACTTTTTATTATGAAGAATTTCAAACAAATACCAGAATAGTAGAGGGACAATCCTTTGTGTACTCATTCCTCAGTTTCAGCTTTTATCAGTAGCCAATCTGATTTCATTCATACACTGACATACTTTCCCCCTTCTGTATTATTTTGAAGCATAGCCCATACACATTGTTTTATATGTATTTCAGTATATATTTCTAATATTTTTTAAAAAACATAGCTCATAGTACCCATAGTGATCAATTTAAAGAATAACTTATAGTTTCTCAAATAGGCCTACACAATTTTTTTAAACCAGTGTTCTGTTGTTGATTACTTACGTTGGCTGCAATTTTTCTTCTAGCTGCTAAAACAAAAAAAAAGTTAGGGAAGATCTTTGTGCGTATAACTTTTCTCATATTTCAGTGTAAGAGATTTACAGAATTTCTGGATCAAAAGGCCAAATTGCTTTACGGTGACAACATCATGGTATGAAAACCAGTTTTACCACACTCACCAGCAGTAGATGTGAGAGTTTAATACATTTTTTGCTGATTTAGGAGGCAAAATGGTATTTGTTTTAGTTAGAAGAAAAATGCTACCAGTGAGGCGCAGACGTTTAAAAAATTTGTTATATTTGCTAGTTATGTTATTCTTTTTAGTGGAATGTTTATATGTAGTATTTGAATATTTGTGATTTTAAACATTTTTTTGTGAGTCAAAGGGTCTTGCCTTTTTATAAGCATTTTTATTGAGAAATGTAATATATAGAAAAGTATATAAAACAAATATTCAGTTGAATGTATAACATTAAAACCAACACCTGTGTAACCACCACCCAGATTGAGAACTAGAACACCCACTTGCAGCACCCCAGAAACCTTCCTACCCAAAGCGTTTTGTTTCAGTCAGAACCTTTTCCTCCTCTGCCCCCCAGAGGCAACCCTGTTCTGTTTTTATGGATATCATTTTTTTGTTCTTTTAACGTGATGACTACATCCCTAAACAATTTAGTGGTTGGATTTTGCTTGGTTTTGAAATTATGTAAATGGAATCATCGTATCAGAATCTTAATTTGTGTGTGTGAATAAATACATTGTGATAAGAGGGAGAATCTAGAGAATCAAGAATGAGAATTTTTTGCTGATACCGAGGCAGTGTCATTTACAGTCAGTAGTGGCCCCTGGCAGCTGGGAGTCTCTGTTCGTAGAGCTTAGTGGGAGATAATCTGCAGGAGTGAGAGTAATCAGGGCTCTGAAGAAAGACCTTCCCTGGATGGGGCAGTGAGGTGGGGGTGGTAGAATTTAGCTAGTCATTTAGACTCAGTTGTGGACTCAGTAATTGCCTTTGGCCTCTGGATAGCTTTATTACATTCTTCTCATTGTAGAATTGATGTTGAGCCCTACCATCTCCAGGTGGTTAGGGAATAACATTAACATGTTATGAGCATATGTGTCTGTAGCAGTCTGCGTTGGCATTAAAACCTCTGTCTTTGAGTAGAATAGGAGGGGCTTTTAGTAGTTCGTATGATCCTGAAAAGGTTTCTGTCTAAGTGGTTGTATGAGGGGATACATCTAATGGAATCAGCAGGTTAGAACTGAGGTGGTCTTTGGCTGTGAATATTAGTAGACCCTAGTGGAGTTTTGCCACAAAATTATTCTTCATTTCTCCTCTCATATTGTTACAAGAATATTCTAACCAGTATCCCTGTTAGAAGAGCTTCTGTTCCTGGTATTGCCTCGTGTCGCCTCGCCAGTCTCTACTGCTACTCAGAGTATTTCTTCTAAAATTTGAATAATTATGTTGTTTCTCTGATGATGATCTTGAAGTGATTCCCCTCCAAATTGCTTGGGTATTGCATGAAGTCCAAATTCCTTAGCAGGGCAGAAAAGAGTCTCTGTTCCTGGTCACCACCTACTACTTCCCTAGTCTAATTTCTTGCTATTCGCTTAATGCTTTAACCATCCTGAACTACTTACCTAAGCTTACTAGGCTATATCACCCCTTTGTGCTTTTTTTGCACATGCCATTCTCTGTACTTATCTGGTATTATTATATTAGTTATCTGTTGCTACGCAATAGATTACCCCAAAACTTAATGGGTTACAACAGCAAAAGCCATTCATTATGTCACTTGGTTTCTTTGGGTCAGAGATCTGGGAGTGACTTAGGTGAGTGGTTGTGACTTAGGGTCTCTTCTGAGGTTGCAGTAAAGATGGCAGCTGGGGCTGCCATCATCTGAAGGCTTTACTTGGGCTGGAGAATTCACTTTCAGAGTGGTTTACCCACATACCTGGCAAGTTAGTGTTATGTACCTGACAGGAAGCTTCACTGCTTTCTGCGTGGACCTCTCTGTACCGTTTCTTGAGCGTCTTCACAACATGGCAGTTAGCTTTCTCCAGAGTGAGTTATCTGTGAGAGAGAGAGAGAACCTTCTAAATGTGGCTGATTTTCCAATCATTTAAAATTACTTTAAATCACTTGTTTAAATGAATACACTAAATACATCTTCAAAGTTAAAATTGTAGTAGTTGATATGAATAGACTTCATTGAAAATGTCTCTTGCTATGGCACGTAACAGATGGGACAAATGACCTTTCACCCAAGAGATAAATGGAAAGCCCCTGTGCACACCAACTGAGTCGTTAGAGTGTAATCAACATTGACTCAGGGTTGGATGGCTTACTTGCTTGTGCCCTTTCTCTCAAGTAGGGATCTATAAAGATATGCCATGGATTGATGTTGCACAAGAATATCTCCCTGGAATACTTAAGTGTGTTTTAAAAAAGGAAAGTTCAGACTACATAGAAAATATTGCGTGCAATCAAATGAAACATGATGGTAAAATAATTTATTTTAGATTCTGACTATTTCTATTCTTTAAATTCTTAGTTGAATTTGGTTCCTTGAGGTAAAAATCAAATTTCAGATTTTTAAAAATGACTTGAGAGTTTCGAAAATATTGCTATGTATTGAGCTGGTAAATAGAAGGCTTGGATATTTCTACTTTTTAATGCACTATGTCATTTTAATCCAGTTCCTTTGGGTGCTTTTCATATTCATCTCCCTTCTGGTCCCCCTTTCTTTTAGGAAAAGCTTTATCTTGTGGAATGAAAGTGAAAGCCTTGTCTCTTTCTCACATGGGTGGATGTTCTCTCCCATTTATTTCCTATAGCTCCTGAGTATTGGTGTTCCATCGCTTACTTTGAAATGGATGTTCAGGTAGGAGAGACATTTAAGGTTCCTTCAAGCTGCCCTATTGTTACTGTTGATGGATACGTGGACCCATCTGGAGGAGATCGCTTTTGCTTGGGTCAACTCTCCAATGTCCACAGGACAGAAGCCATTGAGAGAGCAAGGTATTGATTGGACAGTTAGACAGTTACTTAAAAAAAATGTTGTCTTATATTTGCAGTCATATTTTTTGATGTAGATTATGAGAGTTCTTGAATGTCAATGGAGGGGTAAAGGCCATCTTGAAAATTCAAAATCTGTGAGCATTCCATTTTAATCGTAGATGTTTATTATTTAAAATATAATGATTAAAGATGGCTTTTTGTTTAAGTTAGTAAGGTTTCTGTGTTTCGAAAAAGTAGCTAGACCTTTTGGAATCTAGTTTGGAAAGTAATTATTATTTCCTCTGACCATATAGTATTTTTATAGATATATTGTAAGGAAATAATACAAAATGAGGACAGATGTGTGCACAAAGACATTTCTCAGAGTGTTACTTATAATGTTGGAAATTGATAATAAAAGCGAGGTGGGGGGAGTAAACAAAGCTGTTGCCGTTGAGTTGACTCCGACTCATGGTGACCCCATGTTTGCAGAGTAGAACTGTGCTCCATGGGGTTTTCAAGGCTGTGACCTTTCGGAAGCAGATCGCCAGGCCTTTTCTTCCGAGCTGCCTCTGTATGTGTTTGAACCACCAACTTTTCAATTAGTAGTTGAGCACCTAGCCCTTTGGTGCCACCAGGAACTCCTAATAAAAAGGAAATGGTTAAGTGATGATAAACTAAATATTCCATTGTTTTATGTAATTAAAAACGTTAGTAAAAAGTTTATATAATGGAATGAAAATTCATAAGATGGCATATTACAAGAAAACATACATAATTTTAGGTACTGTGTGATATTAACTCTTTAAGGAAATGTGTGTGTGTGTGTAAAAGCAGGTAATCTTGGCTCTGTCACTAGCTGTGTGACTTAGGCAAATTGCTTAATCTCTAAGCCAGTGCTGTCTAATAGAACTTAAATAGTCACATGTGCCTGTTGGATATCAGTTTGGACAGTGTAGCTTCAAGCCATAGTTTCCTCATCTGTAAAATGGGAATAATAGCACTTACCTCATTGAATGGTGAAGGTTAAATGAGAATTCATATTAAATGCTCCTGATAACATAGGAAGAGCTGCAGCATCATCATTATATATGAATAGAAAAAAGAAGAAAATACATCAGAAAAAATCAAAATGTATCAAAATGTTAATAATGCCTATCTTTTGTTTCTGCTGTTGTGTGATGTACTTTCTTTGTCCTTTTTAATTTTTCAATATTGGCATGTTGTATAATCTGAACTAAAGTTTATTTTTAAATACTTTACCAATTGAAATGTAATTCCATTTTTCTCCCTAAGGTTGCACATAGGCAAAGGTGTGCAGTTGGAATGTAAAGGTGAAGGTGATGTTTGGGTCAGGTGCCTTAGCGACCACGCAGTCTTTGTACAGAGTTACTATTTAGACAGAGAAGCCGGACGTGCACCTGGAGATGCTGTTCATAAGATCTACCCAAGTGCGTATATAAAGGTTAGTTGCAATTTTACTTGAATATTTTAGATTTGGGAAGCTCTGTATTTGCTGTTTAAAGGATTGGAGTGGAGGTAGGAGGAGTAGACAAATGTTTCTTATGTGTTAGATAATCATAAATTGTGTTTAAGTATAAAACATGTTTTCTGGGATTTATTGATGTGATCCGTTATCTAGTTCTGTGGTTGCATTCATTGCCTAGTGCTTTATTAGCAAATTTATTAAGATTTTTAGAGTAATACAAAGGCTCCTGAAGAAAATATTAATTTGGTGAAACTCCAAACTCATATTCCTGTGACATGAAATTTGGAAGAATCAGATTCTAGAATTTTCTCTTAGCCAATCTTTAGAATTTTATGGAAGGTAATTCTAAAATTACTAGCTTTTCAAATTAAGGGCGTAAGAAATGAAGAATTCTTCAGCACCAGGTTTTTTTTAAGGCTGGTTATTTTGTGTTAAATGAATTTTGTTTATTATATCACTTTGCAAATTAAGCCAGAGATATTTTTCACGAATTATTAGGTATTTAACACATTTAGATTTTAGTTCATAATTACACTTTTTTGGAAACACATAACTATTATTAAATAGCCTAAATATATTTGTAGTTCCAGGTTTTCCATAGTCATCCTAAACATCTTCATTTTCAGCTATTATAAATTAGTGGAATTAACTGTACCTCATTACTTATTCCCGAGACATTGCTTGTTGTTGTGTTGTTGTGTGCTGTCAAGTTCATTCCAACTCATAGTGACGCTGTATGACAGAGTAGAACTGCCCCATAGGGTTTCTTAGGCTACAGTCTTTATGCAAGCAGATCACCCAGTCTTTTCTCCCACGGAGCCGCTGGTGGGTTCAAACCACCAACCTTTCAGTTAGCAGCTGAGTGCTTAACCATTGTGCCACCAGGGCTCCTGAACATTGCTTAGGATGCAAATAATACAGCTAAATAGTGTCTGTGTTGTTGGGTGCCATCAAGTTGATTCCAACTCATAGTGACCCCATGTGACAGAGTAGAACTGACCCATAGTTTTCTTGGTTACAATCCTTACAGAAGCAGATCACCAGGTCTTTCTCCCATGCAGCCACTGGGTGAGTCTGAACCCTGAACTTTTCGGTTAGCAGCCTGGTGCTTAACCATTGCACCCCAAGAGCTCCTTAAATAATGTCTAGGAAAATGGAATTGCTTGGCTGCCTCACAACAGCAAACCCTCATTTTTTAGTCACTACAGTTCAGTTAAAGGCTATTAGGATCTTTTTATTTAATGGAAACTTTGAAACATACCAAGTATAGAGAAGATAATTAACCCTCCATGTACCCATCATTCAACTTCAACAATCATCAGCATTTTACCACTGTTTGTTAATGTGTTTCTCCTCCTTTTTTTCCCTGGAATAATTTAAAACCAATTCCAAACATTATATTAGTTCACTCATAAAATACTCCAATATGAATCGCTAATTGATAAAGACTTATAAAAAACATAGTTACAGTGCTATTTCTCATACCTTACAAAATGAACAGTAATTCCCTGTTAATTTATTTTTTTTACTATTTCTTTTTTTAATTGTTGTAAAAAAAAAATGCAATAACAACATTTGCAAATTCAACAGTTTTCACGTGTACAGTTGAGAGACACCAATTACTTTAATCATGTTGTGCAACAATTACCAGTATCTGTTGCCAAATTTTTCATCACCGTAAACAGAAACTCACTGCTTCCTAAACAATAACTCCTTTTTCCGCCTTCTTCCTGCCCCTGGTAACCGCTAACTTTGTTCTCTATACATTTGCTTATTCTAGATATTTAATATAAGTGGAATCATGCAATATCTGTTTTTTTTTTGTTTATTGTAGTTTAAGTGAAAGTTTACATTTCAAGTTAGTTTCTCATACAAAAATTTATGCATACATTGTTATGTGACCCTAATTGCTCTCCCTGTGCTATGACAGCACACTCCTCCTTTCCACCCCTGATTTCACATGTTCAGCCAGCTCCTAACCCTCTCTGCCTTCTCATCTCACCTCCGGACAGAAGCTACCCATTTAGTCTCATGTTTCTACTTGAGCTAAGAAGCACACTCTTCATGAGTATCATTTTATGTCCCACAGTCCAGTCCAATCTTTGTCTGAAGAGATGGCCTTGGGAATTGTTTTAGTTCTGGGTTGACAGAGAGGCTGGGCGCCATGCTTTCTGGGGTTCCTCTAGTCTCAGACCATTAAGTTTGGTCCTTTTACTAGAATTTGAGTTCTGCACCCTACCTTTCTCCTGCTCCATCAGGGACTCTCTGTTGTCTTCCTGTCAGGGCGGTCATTGGTGGTAGCTGGGCACCATCTAGTTCTGGTCTCAGGCTGATGCAGTCTCTGGTTTATGTGGCCCTTTCTGTCTCTTGGGCTCCCTGTTAAATTTTTGATGGTAGAGGATCAGTTTTAGTCTGTTAGGATGATAGACTGGAAAAGTTGGTTATTAAACAATACATGTGGCATGATCCTGTTTTTGTTAAAGAAGTAATATCATGGTTTTTTGTATTTGTTTATCTATACCCACAAGTTTGGAATGGTATGAACAATGTCTTACCAGAAGTTGTCTCTGGGAAGTGGGATTATGTTTATTTATTTTTTCCAGTGTTTCCACAAGGGATTTTTCATATGTGGTTATGTGTGCTTTTTTCCTGCCTGTCATAGTTTGAATTATGTCCCCCCAAAATGTGTATCAGTTTGGCTGGGCCATGATTCCAGGTATTGTGTGATTTTCCTATATGCTGTAAATCCTGCCTTTATGATGTTAATGAGGGAGGATGGGTGGCAGTTGTGTTAGTGAGGCAGGACTCAATCTACAAGATTGGATTGTGTCCTGAGGCAATCTCTTGGTATATAAAGAACAGAAGTGAGCAGAGAGACGGGGACCTCATACCATCAAGAAAGCAGTGCCAGGAGTAGAGTGCATCCTTTGGACCAGGGTCCCTGCGCAGAGAAGCTCCTAGTCTGGGGGAACGTTGACGAGAACGCCAACAGAGAGAGAAAGTCTTCCCCTGGAGCTGATGCCCAGAATTTGGACTTTTCGCCTACTTTACTGTGAAGAAATAAATTTCTCTTTGTTAAAGCCATCCACTTGTGGTATTTCTGTTATAGCAGCACTAGATGACTAAGACACTCCCCTTTTAAATGGTATTGGATTTCCTAATATGCTTTGTAATACATTTGTATTTGTTGGCAGACTTGTCTTGAGAGAATTAATTCCTCTGATTTCCTCCTCCCTGTCATTGCTTCTCCCTGTAGGGCAATCTTGCCTTAGCCTGGCACCCTGGGATTCTCATCTCAGAACCAATTCTTGTATTTAGGAGGTTGGGGTATTTTATCCCTTGAGAAAATTGAGTTCCAATCTCCAGGTATGCTCAGGGCCTAATTCCCATTGCGTAGGCTTTTCTGCTGCTTACCTCTGCCATGGACAAGTATTTTATTCCTAGGTGAACTTCTGACTGGACTGCCAAAGTGTCTTGCCAACACTTGATTTGTGGGCAGGTGCATAGTTGTAGCTCCCAAAGAGACTGGCTCCATTCTCTTTCCGCTATACTCTAGGTTTTTGGCCTTCATACCCCGTTAACCCTGTCGTTAGTCCTTGCACTCCACTGTGAGTTTTTACTCAGTTTATTCATTTGTTTCTTGATTATTGAAATTTATCTTATTTTTGAGCATATCTTTTTTTTTTAAAACATCTTTATTGAGGTCCATTTCACCCATTTTAAACTGTACAATTCTGTGGTTTTAGTACATTCACAGGGTTGTGCAGTCATCACCACAGTCAATTTTAGAACATTTTCATCACCCTAAAAAGAAACCTTGTACAGTTTAGCTATGACCACCCTCCCACCCCCCACCCCGACCACATCCTTGCACCCCATACCCCAGCCCTAGACAACCACTAATCTACTTCTGTCTCTATAGATTTGCCTGTTCAGGACGTTTCATATAAATGGAGTCATGAAGTGTGGTCTTTTGTGACTGGCTACTTTCACTTAGCACAATGTTTTCAAGGGTCATCCGTGCTGTAGCATGTATCTGTACTTCATTCCTCTTTATTGCCAAGTAATATTCCATTGTATGGATATACCACTTTTTGTTTATTGGTTCATCAGTTTGTGGACATTTGGGTTGTTTCCAGTTTGCGGCTATTATGAACACTGCTGCTATGAACATTTATGTACAGGTTTTTGCATGGATGTATGTTTTTATTTTCTTCACTATACACCTAGGAGTGGAATTGTTGGGTCATAAAGTAACTCTATATTTAACTTTTTGAAGGACTGCCAAACTGTTTTCCAAAGCGGCTGCACCATTTTACATTCACACCAGCAGTGTATGAGTGTTCTAATTTCTCACCATCCTCATCAACACGTGTTATTATTTGTATTTTTTAATTTTAGCCATCCTAGGGGATGTGAAGTGGTGTCTCATTGTGGTTTTAATTGCATTTTTCTGATGACTAATGTTGAGTCAGGTTTGTTTTTAAACAGATTGTTAGGAGAAGGGGGCAGTGGGTACTTCTAAATATCATATTGTGATTCTTATTTCTAGGTAAGGCAGCTTAACAAGTACTTAATGCAATCTTACGTTCACATGCTCAGTATACCAGTGACACTGTTTTTCTGGGTTACTGTTTTCTTGGTGGTGATTCACCTGAGTGCTAATAACCTCTGTAGTTTTTCTCTTGTGCTTCATACACGAAGATAATGCTGTTATTGTTAGTTGCTGTTGAGTCAGTTCTGACTCATTGGCAATCCCATGTGTGCAGAGGAGAACTGCTCCAAGGCTGTGACCTTTCAGAAGCAGATCACCAAGCCTGTCTTCCAAGGCACTCTGGGTGGGTCTGGACCACCAGTCTTTTGGCTAATAGTTGAGTGCTTAACCGTTTATGCCTCCCAGGGAGCCTCGTGGTGTTGGTTCAAACTAATGTAGTATTGCAGTTAAGCCTTGTGTCTTAGGCTGGGTTCTCTAGAGAAGCAAAACCAGTAAAGTGTATAAATATATATATAGAGAGAGTATATCAAGGAAACAGCTCACGTGATTGTAGAGGTTAGGACATCCCAAGTCCGTGGATCAGGGTAGAGGCCTCTCCCAAGTCACACAGCTGCAGAAGTTGGCAAGCCCAAGATCGGCAGGTCGGAGAGCAGGGCTCCTGCTCAGAGACTGTGCAGATCAGCGAATCCCAGGTTCGGCAGATAAGCTGACAGCTCAAGGCCCAGGAACGGGAGATGAGACAACAGGAAGCAGACGCAGGATCCAAAGAGAGCAAAAAGCTAGAACGTCTGCTTATATACAGATGTGGGCCGCACCCCCAAGGAGACTCCCTTTTATCTGATTGGCTACTCACAGTATATTCAATCACAGGAGTGATTACATTAAAACACTGAGAATCATGGCCCAGCCAAGTTGACACACAGTCTCAACCATCACACCTTGTTAAAGAAAAATGCCAAAACTTGACTCCTGGTTGAAAGACAATAGCCTAATGATGTTGACCATGATCTTTATAAGACATTCACCTGTGTTAAGTGATAGGTTTGTAATAAACTTATATGAGAATAACTATAGGAAACATGGTTAAATAATTGAAAGCAGAGTCAAGTTGTTGATTAGCTCAGGAGTGGTGATCAGAAATAATTTTGCATCTGAGTGAAAAAGCATGTATAACACCTTTAGTTATTTTGGCAACTCTGGTGGCGTAGTGGTTAAGTGCTACGGCTGCTAACCGAAGGGTCAGCAGTTCGAATCCACCAGGTGCTTGGTGGAAACTCTGGGGCATTTCTACTCTGTCCTGTAGGGTTACTATGAGTCAGAATCGACTCGACAGCAGTGGGTTTGGTTTTTGGTTAATTTGGACTGTGGTTATCAATAACTCAGTCAAATTCTGAAAGGTAGCATTTTAGTGATAGCCTTAATTTTACTGTCCAGTAGAAACAGATGAAATCTATTGTGGTCTAATGGATCAGCAATAGTGTGAAGGCAGGAGGGCAACCCAGGTGTCAGCAGTGTAGCCAGTCATTATAAGTCTTCTGGTTTTGGTGCTTTAATTACATAAATAATCTACTGCATAAGGAAGGTTTGCTGAGGTGCCTAATGCATCATTTTTACTACATCTGCGGATGAAAGTCAGTGTTTTTAAGTTTTATCTTTGTGGTTACATGTATTATGTGCTGCTGATGTTACAGTGGATTCAAGCTAAAAAAGTCATACCTGCAGTGGTGTACAATGTATTGTAGAGAACCCACATGTGAGGATCACTTGGCCATTTTTAACGGCTTATGGTGAGGAATAGACTGTGTTGCGAGCATATTTGACCTCCGGTTATGTGTAAGTTTTATTCTCCGCTTCCAGCTATAAAGGTTACATATGTACAGTACAGGTAGTCTCCAACTTACAACGTATTCAAGTTACCACAAATCGTGCGTATGACTGTCTTTCTTTTTTTGTACATCTTATTGTTAGTAGTATGTACTACATACAGTGTTGCAGTGTGCAGTTTGCTGATGTTATTCTCAGATGTTCAGTCACAGATGTTCAGTGTTATGATTTACTGTTCAAAACACCATGGAGCCCTGATGGCGCAGTGGTTAAAGTAGTTGACTGGTAACCAACAGGTTGGCAGTTTGAACCCACCAGCCTCACTATGGGAGAAAGATGTGACAGTCTGCTTCCATAAAGACTATGGCCTTGGAAACCCTATGAGGCAATTCTGCTCTGTCCTGTAGGGTCGCTATGAGTTGGCATTGACTTGCTGGCAGTGGAATTGGTTTTGGTTTTGGGTTCAAAACACTGCTATACAGCAGGCTATGAAAACTTAAAAAAAAAAAAAAAAGTATCTGACCTATGTCAGAACTGATTTAGGACGGAGTCGTACGTACGGAACCCCATCGTAAGTCAGGCACTACCTGTACTTGGTTGGTGGTGGTTTAAAAAAAAGTGGCTGTAGAGCTATTTGACTTTTCAGGTGTTTGAGTCCCTGCTTTGTGCTGTGCTAGGTAACAGCTTCCAAGAGATCACAGTCCAATGGAAGAGTTCAGAATCTTAAGGACTATGGGAAACCACAAGAAAGTAGTGGTTTCTTCTCTGGACATTGTGGGATTTCTGATTTCCAGAAACTGGCTTTGTCATACTCTCTGTCCTGAAGTCTTTTAGGACTTAATGGTTTAGCCAGGAAATACATACATATATATTTGACAAATTGATAATATCTTTAGAGAATGGAGGCGGTCTAAGTTTTGTCCTTCATTGATGCTAATCAGGAAAGACAGTGTGAGGAGATAAGCATTGAGTAGAGAAATGAATAAGTAGGAACATTAAACATATACTTTTTTTTTTAAGGTCTTTGATTTGCGTCAGTGTCATCGTCAGATGCAGCAGCAGGCGGCCACGGCACAAGCTGCAGCCGCCGCCCAGGCAGCAGCCGTGGCAGGAAACATCCCTGGCCCGGGATCAGTAGGTGGAATAGCTCCAGCTATCAGTAAGTATGCTTTTGGTTTTGTTTTTGTTTTTTTTAAGTGTAGTAGTTGGAGTCCTACCTTGATTGACTCGGTTGAGTAGTTACTTTAAGCTATAATAGAAATTAAAATTCTTTTAACTGGGATGATAGTCTTTTTGAATTTGTAAAAACTGTAATAGTTGCCCTTTGCCTAGAACCCTGGTTTCATTCTTTTTGTATCAAAGAGGGAGTGGGATAAAGGAGAGGAGGGGTATCGTTAAGTTATATTGATCCCGTCCCCTTTTTTTGTTGTTGGTTATAATTCCTGCCTCACCAGCCAGGGTGGGTTGTTGTCGCTGAAGTGCTTGGCTTTAGTCTAGTAAGAAAAGCATATTCAACTTCAGAATCGGGCATCTCTCCAGTTTTCTTTTTTTTTTTTTTTTAACTATGCTAAGCGTGGAGAGAAAACTCAGTGAGGGTGGTATTTTGATAACTTGTAGACTTTTTTTTAATTTTAGGGTAAAATTGAACTGTGTGCCAGGTTTCACACTGATGGGGAATTTTTTACTGCAGAGTTAAACTCCTGACTATAGACTTTTATGATGGAAACACGTGGCACCCATCTTCCACGTCTGAAGGCATAACTAGTGATTCATTCAACCCCTGTTCTTAACCTCTTCAGTGTGGTAAGCAAATCACACTGGCTAAGAAAACTGCAGTGGCCCTGCAGGTTTCTCTACAGTACATGCAAATTCCTCCCATTAGTTTCATTGTAATATTGATGAATGCAGATTAACTATATGACTTGTATGTTCTGACTGGAAAACTAGATGCAGAGTCTCCATTGTGAATTATGTTCAGGAGTTTACAATTTAGAGGTAGATGAGACATATTCATTTAGAGATTTTGATTTTTTTAAATTTGGGCATCTAAAACCATTAATTTCATTGCTAGTTTTGATGTTATAAACATGCTTTTACTAAAGAACCCAGAAGTATTATTGAATTTCTCATTCTCGTCTCCTGCCCCTTTGAGTAATGTGAGCACACTGTCTCTGTCACACTGCAGAATTGAGAGACAGACATCATCGGGTCATGCAAGAAGTCATAGTGGAACCAGGAGCATTAACTGTCTCATTGTTAGTCATGTCTTACTCAGAACTAGGCTCTTTAGATAGATAGTAAGGGTCTTAGAACCAACCTGTGGACATGCATCACCTCTTAAAACCAGTTGTTTCTTGTCCCTTCACCTCCACTTCTAAAGAGAAAAATAGGTGGGGTGTTTGTGGATCGTGGTAATTTACTTTATAATTGGTGGTAGCTAGAAGACACATGTGGAACATAAACTGCCTTAACCAAAAGTTTTCAGTCCCTGTTGATGAAGTTTAGATCTGCAGTCACTTCTTGGCGTTTTGGCAGAGAAGTTATATGCTGAGGAGAATGAAGTAAAGAAAGATGGTCACTTTGTTAACTTAAGAATGTAGGGAAGATGGGGAAGAGATCAGCCCAGCTATCTGATGTCTTCTAAATCTTTTCTGTTAGGTTTGTCTGCTGCTGCCGGAATTGGTGTGGATGACCTTCGTCGCTTGTGCATACTCAGGATGAGTTTTGTGAAAGGCTGGGGACCGGATTACCCAAGGCAGAGCATCAAGGAAACACCTTGCTGGATTGAGATCCACCTACACCGGGCCCTGCAGCTTCTAGATGAAGTCCTTCACACCATGCCTATTGCAGACCCACAACCTTTAGACTGAGGTCTTTTACTCTTGGGGCCCTTAACATTATCAGGATGGTGGACTATAAAATATAGTCCTGTTTATAGTCTGAAGATATATTTCACTTTTGTTCTGCTTTATCTTTTCATAAAGGGTTGAAAAAATGTGTTTGCTGCCTTGCTCCTAGCAGACAGAAACTGGATTAAAACATTTTTTTTTTTTTTTTTTTATTTAGAACTTCCCAGGCATGGCTCAGAGCTTGAAGATCAGGAAAAACACATTCTTACAAATCTTCACCAGTTATGTATGAAGGAATCATTCCATTGCTGGAAAATTTAGCCCTTTAAGATGTCTTAGAGCCTTTTATATGCAGAACATAGATACGTGTGTTATTCTACAAAATAAATTCAATATTGCTGATTTTAAAGGCAGAGAAGTTCTCAAAGTTAATTCACCTATGTTAATCTGTGTACAAGTTGTTACTGTTGAATATACTTTACTACAAAATATTGTGCCATGTGGGTGAGTTAATTTTACCAAGACCAACTTTACTCTGTGTTTTAAAAAAAATAAGATAACAATGTATTATAACCTTTTATCCAAAAGAAAAAAGAAAAAAAAATTTTTTTTTGGCAAGTTAAACTAGAGAAGATGATTTCAATTCAGGTTGTCTTGCAACTTCAGTTTTGTTTTTGACAAGACAAAACACTAACCTGTGTGTATATTAAGAATTCCTTAAAATTACCAGACAAAGAAGTGTCATTTAAAATTACATATGTTATCCCTGTTGGGTAACTGTTTATCAAGAAGGAAACTTTCTCCCTGTTAAACAGTTGATAGATTCTTCTATGTTTCTAGGCCTGAAGTTGGTTACTAAGAATCCTAGAAGAGGAATTTCTTTCCTTCATTAATTCATAGGGAAAAGTTTTGTATTTTTAAAAACACTAAAAGCAGTGTCACTCCACTTAATATCTCGCTGTTCTGCAGAGGTGGCAGTGCTTAAACTAAATAATGAAGAACTGTGCAGAATAATGGAAACATTGCAGTTCATAATAGGTAGTTTGGATATTTTTGTACTTGATTTGATGTGTGATTTTTTTTCATATACTGTTTAAATCATGTGTGTTATGACATTGTTTAAAATTCAGTTTTTATATCTTGGGGCAAGACTGCAAACTTTTTTATACCTTTTGGTTATTCTAAGCCCTATGCCATCAATGACCATATCAGTTGGCAGTGACTTTGTATAGAGAATTTAAGTAGAAAAGTTGCAGATGTATTGACTGTACCACAGACACAATATGTATGCTTTTTACTTAGCTAGTAGCATAAATAAAACTGAATCTCAACATACAAAGTTGAATTCTAGGTTTGATTTTTAAGTTTTTTTTTTTTTCTTTCTTTTGCACTTTTGAGTCCAATTTCAGTGGTGAGACACCTTCTGCTAAATGACAGGCAGTAGCCAGTGCTATTGGACAGCTTTGGTTTTTCCCTCACATTACCAACACTTCCCCCATGGACATTATATATCATGTATAGAGTTGGTTATTTTTAAAAAATTTTTTTACTGTAGCAAATCAGGCTGATTGTCTAAAAGATAAATAGTCAACAAGATAAATAGTGTGAAATAACATCAATGGTTATCTTTCAGATGTTTTTACTTTTTGCTTGGAAGAGCTTTGTAAATTTAGTAAGATTTTAAGGTGTGTTATAAGTTTGAGATGTAAGAAACACTTATGTATGATAGTCATCCTTATATCAACTTAAATGTACAAGTCTTCTACTTCCTTTGTCAGAAGATCTTAATACTATCCTAGAATAATACCTGAGTTTGCTTATTACTGTGGTTTATACATAGATCTCGATTCAAGCTACATGTCTTTTGTTTTTAAAATAATTTTTTATCAGCTCGTTTGTACTCTAACTTGTACTTACAAATACTTTGGTTAAAGACCTAGTTTTAAAAGTCTGGTGGTTTAAGTTTTATTGGCAGATTTTTTAAAAAAGATCTTTGTTCTCTAGAAATTATTGACTTTGGGTCCATTTTACTCTGAATGAAGAATAGGAGTGAGGGGGAAGAGTTTTGGAATAACAGTAGTTTCTTTTTCTTTTTTTTTTTAAACCAGATTATTTGATAAGAATGTTAATCATGCTGTGATCTAATCCACTGCCTCCTTTTCTAAGGAAGGTTTCCATGTTTAATCATCTGGGGAAAGTATGTGGAGAATATTTGCTAAAATGGCACTCTGTGGCCCAGCCACCTGTCTTGATTTCTTTCTATCAAGAGCCATACACAGAAATACTTCTAGTTAATAATTGCTTTGTGTTTGTACCTAGATTCAGTATGTGCTTTTGAGAAAACATTTAGGGTGTTATGATCAGTTATTCCTGAGAGCTTAATTGTTAAACTGTGTTTCTGTTTGGTAGAGGTGGTCATCTTTGATGAGTAAGACTAAAGAATCACTAGGTTTTACATTTTACGGCTCCTTAAAGGGTAACGTAGTTTCTGTAGTTCTCAGAATTGATCATTACGAGGATATGGTTCTAGATGGGTTTTCTCTAGCTAATTCATATCTCAGAGACTCTCATAATGTTGGATTTTAGTGAAAGCTGACAATGAGAGATTGAACCAACTACTTTCTTTTAAAATCCACTATGAGGCCCATTCTACTTTTGTCCAGTCCCTTTCAGTGCATTATCAAAGGGAATCCTTAATGGTGTTGCCTTCAATTCCCAGGGAGTAGATTCTTTTGTTTTTTGTAGTAGTGTTCCTGGTATACAAAAATAATAATAATAAATCACTGCCATATAACCTTGTTTTTCCAGAAACATGGTTCATTTGTATTGACCTAACCACTAAATACATCGTCTGTCGCATTCCTCCTGTAAATGATACAGGCTTCCAGGTTGGATGGTCTGGCTCAGGGATCACCATACTGGAAACATCCAAGTAAACCGAACACGTTAGCTGTGTTGCATTTCAAAGTTAAAAATCCATTTTTGTGGAAATGGGTTTGGTGTTAAGGAGGGTATTTGTAATAGAAACTCTGAGGGCAAAATAAAATGTTTTTGTTTATCATCTGTCTTCTAGATGGTAAATATCTAGAAGTTTATTTTAATTGTAGGAAGGTGAATTACAGCTCTCTTTTTGGCTGTGTCCATCTGGGGAAGGACAATTTTATACTTCCCCATAATACTCCTTAAGTATCTCTGGAGGCTGAGGAATATAAGGTGAAATGTTTCTCCTCCTGGTTTGGTGTACTCACTGAGTTAATAGTTCCTCACTAGGTATTTTATGTGAAGTTAATTAGTTCAGATCTTTTTGGAAGAAGCAGTTTTTCTGCTTTATTCTCTGAGTAAGGCATAAATGATCCTGTTTGTTTATAATTTCTATAGTTTGCACTTTTCATCATTAAATCATTTTACTGGCATTTTATTTAATGATAGCAGATTTGGAAAATGGTGAATTTAGGTTACTGGGGTGTAAATGGTTATGTGAAAGCAGTTACGGTATTGTCAGTCAGCAGCTCTTTTGTGGGTAGGTTTTGGCTCAGACATAGCAGATAACACTCAACATGAAGAAATACTGCCCCTGTCCCCCACCCACCCCCCATTTGTTCTAAAGGCAGATAACTATCTGTAAGTAATCTCCTAAACCTTGTTTTGCAAGATTATAGAGAATAGGCTACGAGAACCACAAGAATGTTTTGTGCAGACTTAACACCTTGTCTGACAACTAGGTAATTTCTTTTCTCTTAAGACACAAGGAAGGATGTAAAAAGTTGGTGGCCTTACTCGTAGCAGTGTGGTCCTCCTTGGGCCTGGCCTCGCCTCTAGCCCGTACTTGTCCCAGCACTGCTAGGTTGTTTAATCTCATTTATCTGGTATCACTGTGGAATGAGATTTTCCATGTAACCCAGATTTGCCTTATTTAAGCGCTGTAACTTTTTTATTTTAGCCATTTTTGGTGGAGTTATTTAATATGTATATCAGAATATATTGGGTATAACATTTTTGTGTGTATTTGATTAGCTGTCTTTGTTGACCTCAGGGCTGCTAAGACAGGCAGGACTTTTTGCCTTTACTAAATGGCCCCAGGCTGCTATGGTTTTGATTTTTTTTTTTTTTTTTTTTAATCCGCCCTTCCTTGACGTCTCCCTTTCTGACAGCTACCACTTCATGTGTGGTTGTTAATGTGCCTCCCCTTAGTATTTTCCTCTTCCTTTTTGGATTCACTGTTTCTAACTGCTTCGGCAAGGAAACCAGATAACCAAACTTAGTAAAATTTCTTTAAAACACAAGTACAAACTCTGCGACAGGACCCAAGAAACTTTCCTATAAAGCGTTAAAAGGACATCAGTGCTTTGGCACTTGACATCGGTTTGACTGCTTAGAGTGCTTCTTTCTTGCTGGGCTTTAGGTAGTTAAGGCAGAGAGAAGTGAGTCATATTCATATTTTCCCCTTTAATGTTTTTGAAAGATTTCATTGCTTCCACTTGAATGCCGTTGTTGTTGTTAGGTGCCATCAGGTTGGTTCTGACTCATATCAACTCTGTGCACAACAGAACGATACACTGCCCAGTCCTGTACCATCCTCACAGTCATTGCTGTTTAAACCCATTGTTACAGCTACTGTGTCAGTCCATCTTGTTAAGAGTCTTCCTCTTTTTTGCTGACCCTCTACTTTACCAAGCATGATGTCCTTCTCCAGGGGCTGGTCCCTCCTGATAACATGTCCAAAGTATGTGAGACGAAGTCTTGCTGTCCTCGCTTCTAGGGAGCATTTTGGCTGTACTTCTTCCAAATCGGATTTGTTTGTTCTTCTGGCAGTCCATGGTATATATTCAGTGTTCTTCGCCAACACTATCATTCAGATGTATCAATTCTTCTTTGATCTTCCTTATTCATTGTCCAGTTTTTGTGTGCATATTATGAGGCTCTGAAAATACC